GGCACCCTGAAAGGGCCAGCAGGACTCTGCCATGGCTGCCACCTGCCTGATGCATCTGCCCCACACCTGCATCCCCTGCAAACGGCCATGCCCCAGTTCTGGGAACCGCCTGCCCTACTTGTTGCTCCAAGTAGGGCAGAAGCTGCTAGAGAGCAGGTGTGGGCTGAGCCGGGGGCTGTGTGTGGGAGTGTGTCTGTGTGTGCACATGTGTGTGAGTGCATGTGTCTGTGTGAGCTTGAATGCATGTGTGCATGTGCCTCTGTGTGCAAGTGTTATTAGTACCTGTGTCTGCATGGGGTACCTCTGTGTGTGCCTTTCTGTGTGTGTGCGTGTATGAGTGTGTGCCTGTGTGTGAATGTGCATGTGCCTGAGTGTGCATGTATGAGTGTGTGCGTGTCTGTGTGTGCATGCATGATTGTGTGTGTCTGCTTATGTGCATGTATAAGTGTGTGTGCCTGTGTGAGTGCGCATGTATGTGTGTGCCTGTATGTGTGTGCATGTCTGTGTGTGCATGCATGATTGTGTCTGAGTATGTGCATGTATGAGTATGTGTGTGCCTGTGTGTGCCTGTGTGAGTGTGCATGTATGCATGTGCCTGTGTGTGCATGAGTATGTGTGTGTGCATGTATGTATGTGCCTTGTGAGTGTGTGCTAGTGTGAATGTGCATGTATGTGTGTGTGTGCATGCATGTGTGTGCCTGTGTGTGTGCATGTATGAGTGTGTGCGTGTCTGAGTGTGGATATATGTGTGTACCTGTGTGTGTGTGCATGTATGAGTGTGTGCGTCTGTGAGTGTGGATGTATGTGTGTGCATGTCTGTGTGTGTGTGCGTGTGAGTGTGCATGTATGAGTATGTGCCTGTGTGTGCATGTATGAATGTGTGTGCCTGTGTGTGCATGCATGTGTGGCTGTGTGTGTGCATGTATGTGTGCATGTCTGTGAGAGTATGGATGTATGTTCCTGTGTGAGTGTGCATGTATGTGTATACATGTCTCTGTGTGTGCATGTCTGTGTGTAAGTGTGGATGTATGTGTGCCTGTGTGTGCGCATGTATGTGTGCCTGTGTGTGTGCATGTATGTGTGCATGTCTCTGTGTGTGTATGTGTGCCTGTGTGCATGTATGTGTGTGTCTGTGTATGTGTGCATGTATGTGTGTGCATATGAGTGTATGCCTGTGTGAGTGTGCATGAATGAGTGCCTGTGTATGTGTACATGTATGTGTGCATGTCTCTGTGTGTGTGGATGTATGTGTGCCTGACTGTGCATGTGTGTGTGTGCATGTCTGTGTGTCTGAGTGTGTGCGTTTGTGTGTGTGTATGTGCCTGTGAGTGTGCGTGTGTGCCTGAGTGTGCATGTGAGTGTATGCCTGTGTGTGCATGTGTGAGTGTGTGCATGTCTGTGTGTATGTATGAGTGTGTGTACATGTCTGTGTATATGTGTGTGCATGTATGTGTGCCTTTGTGAGTGTGTATATATGAGTATGTGCGTGTCTGAGTGTGTGAATGTATGTGTGCCTGTGTGTGTGCATGTGTGTGCATGTCTGTGTATGGGTGTGTGCATGTCTGTGTGTGTGGATGTATGAGTGTGTGCCTGTGCTCATGTGTGTATGAGTGTGTGCCTGTGCGCATGTGTGTATGAGTGTGTGAATGTCTGTGTGGGGGGGGATGTATGTGTGCCTGTGTGTGCATGTGTGTGTGTGCCTGTCTGTGTGTGCATGTATGTGTGCCTGAGTGTGCATGTCTGTGAATGTGAGTGTGCACATATGAATGTGTGCCTGTGTGCATGTATATGTGCATGCCTGTGTGTATGAGTGTGCATGTATGTGTCTTTGTGTGTGAGTGTGCATGTATGTGTGCCTGTGTGTGTGCATGTATGTGTGCCTGTGTGTGCATGTATATCTGTGTTGCATGTATGTGTGCCTGTGAGTGTGCATATACAAGTGTGTGTGTCTATGAGTGTGTGTGCATGTATGTGTGTGTGCATGTATGAGGGTGTGTGTGCCTGTGTGTATGGGCATGTATGAGTGTGTGTGTGTGTGTGCATGTATGAGGGTGTGTGTTTGCCTGTGTGTGTGCATGTATGAGTGTGCATGTGCCTGTGTGTGTGTGAATGTATGAGGCTGCATGTGCGTGTGTGTGAGTGTGCATGTATGAGGGTGCGTGTGTGCCTGCTTGCTCCCCGTGGGTCTCCATGCCTTGGTTGGTCTCTCCTGGTGCCTCCTCGTCTGTCTCCTTTCACCATCATGATCCGGTGTCCTCCACCCAGCCCTGTGCTGCCTGCCAGAGCCCCTGGGTCCCTCTAGGTCCTGCAAAAGCCTTCCAAGGCATAGGGTGCACAGCAGCTGGAGGGTGGGCGGGACCGATGGTGCTTCCTCGGCAAGGGACAGTGTGTGCCCCTTGCTAAGCACTGAGGAGGGCCACTCTCCCTCCGAGGTTCCCAGAGAGGCTCCTTTCTGCCTCTCCAGCTCCTGCCGACCACAGGCGTCCCTTAGCTGTGGCCGCAGCGCTCCAGTCCCTGCCTGCATCCCATTCAGGTGACCGTCTTCCCTGTGTCTGTGCCTCCTGTTCTGTCTCTCACATGGACACTTGCTGCTGGGTTCAGGGCCCACCAGATAGTCCAGGATCCTGACCCTGATTACGTGTGCAGAGACCCCGTTCCCAAATAAGGACATACAGGTTCTGGGGTCGGGAGTGGACACGTCTGGCTGGGGGCCACACTCAGCCCCCTGCATGTAAGTGCTCCTGGATTCTCAGGCGTTCTCAAGATGCAGGGTGTGTCTCCAGAAAAATCAGACAGGCCGAGGGGGGACGTCTGTGAATCAGAGGAAGGCCTGAGGGTCGAGCGTGGGGTCAGCATTCGTCCTGCCACCTGCAAGATGTCCTGGGTGGGCCTGGCTGGCTTGTGTCGCTGGCATGAGGCAGTGTGAGAAGCTGTCGTGGCAAATTCAGCCCTCAGCCAGGAGTCGCCCACTGTGGTCTCTGGGCCAAATCCTGCTGGAACCTGTTTTTGTAAATACAGTGTCACTGGCTCTGGGCCATTCCTGCACACGTCATCTGCGGCTGCTTTCAGCTAAGTATCAGATGGAGACTAAGCCCCGCAAAGCCAAAAAGGTGATGTCGGACTCTTCACAGGCAAGCCCGTGACCCCAGTCCCGACTGGATTACTGGGAATGTAGCTTGTTGAACAAAGGAGCTGCGGGCGGGGGCATGGCGGGGACTGGGTGCCATCAGGTGGAGGAGCAGCCACAGAGCTGTTATGGCGAGCTCCGGCTACGCCGCTGTGTCGGACTTCCCTTTCTGGGCCAGGCATCTTGCTTCCTGTCTCGAAATTTCCAGAGGGGGCCGGGACATGGTCTGGAAAGCCTCGGCTGGGCAGGTGGAGCCCTGTGGGTGCGGGGCGAGGGGCTTCTTTCTTGAATTGGGAATGCCCAGCTTTTTCCTAGCTGTAAATGTGTCAGGCCCTGCAGACAGATTCTCTGACGGGAAATGAATTCCCCGGCCCCGAGCCCACACCGCGCCTGGCTTTTGTGAGCACCATGGGTGTTCACAGGTCTGAGGCTGCTTTCACACAGCCAGGGTGGCGACAGCAAGTAGTGGCCACGGAGCCCATGTGGCCCCAAAAGCTGCACTGCCTGCCCTCTGGCCCCTTGCAGAGGGAGCTTGCTGACCGCTGGCCACAAGGTCACATAGGCCCCCGGCTCTGCGGGCTGCCGCCCTGTGGCCTGGGGGTGGCCATGGCACAGGAGGGAAGCTGAGCCCTTGTCTGAGCTCTTCTATGGACACCACTGCAAACATGAGCGCCTGAGTCAAGTTCATTTGGGATTTTGGTTCTCACTTGAGTTTTTCAGAGCGTCAGATGGACACGTCATTCTGCAATCCTTTTTGGGGACATTCTCCCCCAGCCCCTCTTGTGTGTGCACAGGGATCTGGGGCGTTTGCATGAAGCCCCAGAACCTACTCCTCACTGAAGCCGGGTACCCAGCTGCCGGGGCCTAGGTGGGAGGCGGCCTGGCCGTCAAGCCTGGACTCGTGCTGGGAGGGCTGGGAGTCTTCCTGCGCCGTCCTCTCTGCAGCCCTGCAGCGCCTGCGGTTCACAGCTGTGTCCCAGGCCCAGGTGCTTCTCCCAAGGCCACACGGGGGCTGTGCTGTGATGGGTTTGAGCTGCACCCGGCAGAGCGGATGGTACCCACTGGTTGTTTGCAGTGACAGTGACATTGGAAAATGAGAACGTGGGGGTGGGGACGGGGACCCGAGTGACCCTGGAGGGTCCAGGAGGCAGAACGCAGGCAGGTCCCCAGCAGCTGAGGAAGACGCCAGGGCCTGCCATGCTGGGCAGTGGCGGGTGAATGGGCATGGGACCCAAGGCCCCTCAACCTCCCCACCTTCTGGCGCTGAAGCTCAGCCACACGCTGGAACTAAAGGAACCAGGAGGGGCAGTAGGTCCAGAGGCAGCAGGGAGCTGGTACAGGTGTGGCTGGCAGGGTGGCAGGGACAGGGCAGGAGGCCACAGCCATGGGGCAGGTCCCACGCTGGGACCCCAAGCCCCTGGCCACAGCTCCTACAGCCCTCAGTGTGGCCTGGGGGCTCTAGGACTTGAGGCAGGGCGAATCTGCTGGCGAGTGTCCAGAACCCAGTCATGGGAGCCAGCGTCAGGGGCCGGGTGCAGCCACGAATGTTCTGGGGCCATTTCTGCCCTGGTGGCCTGTGGGTCTCGAAGTGGGAGGGGATCATCCCATTTTGTATACCAGGAGACAAAGCCTGGGCATGGCTGGGGGGAAGGGATCACCCCATTGTGTATGCCAGGAGATGAGGCCCGGGCATGGCTGGGGGAGGGCATCGCCCTGTTTTGTATGCCAGGAGATGAGGCCTGGGCATGACTGAGCGGCTTGCTTAGGTTCATGCCCCCAGCTCGGGTCTCTGCACTGTCACGGCCTCCCTGGGGACGCCGAGGACCAGGGCGGCGGTGCTGGCTGGCATCCCTGACCGCCGTGCTCCCTGCAGACTGCCTGCTGATGCTGGCCTACAAGGACAAGTCGGAGCGTGCCAAGGGCCTGCGGGAGCGAAGCAGCCTGACGCTGGAGGACATCTGCGGGCTGGAGCCCGGCCTGCCCTACGAGGGCCTGGCCCACACGCTGGCCATCGTCTGCCTGTCCCAGGCCGTCATGCTGGGCTTCGACAGCCACGAGGCCATGTGTGCGTGGGATGCCCGGATCCGCTATGCTCTTGGTGAGGGTGAGTGATGGGGCCGGGGCGGGTGGCGGGCGAAGGGGGGCTCCCTGCTCTATCCTGGGGCCCCTCACCAACGTGGGCCACAGAAGTGGAAGCGGCTCCAGGGACCGGTGCAGGAAGATGGGACATTCGTGGACGCCTTAGGGTGGGCTGAGCTCTAGCCTGGGGGTGCCCACGAGGGTTTGGGAGGGGAGTCTGCTGGGCTGTGGTGTCTTTAGAGCTCCCAGGCCTCACCATTAGTTACCACTGGAGCATGTAAACCTGGCTGGTGGCCTCTGGAGGGGTGTGGCCTCCCAAAGCCCTGCCCTTTGCTTCCCACACAGGACAGTGGAGCCCAGAGCCTGGGTAGGAAGGAGAGCCTCAGGCTGGGCCATCCCTCCCCAGCTTCCCCCATACAAGAGCAGAAGCAGGGGAGGGGCTGGAGGGGAGGGAGGGAGCAGGGCAGGGAGTGCTGTTGGGGGGAGCTGGCCCTGGAAGAGCTGCAGCCTTAGTCCCAGCCCTGCAAGGGCTTCAGATGGGTGCGTGGGGGCCTCTGGGGCTGAGCTGCCCTGGGGCTGTGAGCAGAGGTGGGTGATGCTGGGCCCCTGGGCACTCAGTGGCAGAGCAAGCATAACCCTGCGTCTCCTGAGAGACAAAAATCAATGCCAAACACCTGTAGTGAGCAAAACAGTAAAATGTCAACCAAGTGGAGTCCTGACCCTACACGGAGATGTCCACTCCATAATCCCAGCACCGCCGCTGCCTTCCTAGCACTTTGGGAGGCTGAGGTGGGTGGATCACCTGAGTCCAGCAGATAGAGACCAGCCTGGGCAACATGGCGAAACCCCGTCTCTACTAAAAATACAAAAATTAGCTGGGCATGATGGCAGGGGCCTGTAATCCCAGCTACTTGGGAGGCTGAGGCGGGAGAATCGCTTGAACCTGGAAGGTGGAGGTTGCAGTGAGCCGAGATCACGATGTCATTACACTCCAGCCTGGGTGACAGAGCGAGACACCATCTCAAAAGAAAAAAGTGAAAAAGAGCTGAGAGGTGGAGGTGGCAGTGACCTGAGGCTGCGCCGCTGCCCTCCAGCCTGAGCCACAGGGTGAGACCCTGTCTCAAAAAAACAAACAAAAAAGCTTGCTGTTTGATCAGTGTGGTCTCTGCATGACTCTACTTTGTAAACTATTGATTAAAAGACCCGGGCCCTTGATGGCTGAGGTCTCTGGCCTTGGAGGTGAGTGCCTCTCCCCCAGCCTCGGCCCCAGGGCAGCAGTCCCCCCTGCCCCACTGAGGGAACAGAAGCGGGGGGCTTAGTGGGAGAAGGTGCAGCCGGCGGTCTCTGCAGGAGGGTACAGGGGAAGGAGACATTAGGAGGGAAGAACTGTGCCTTTCCAGAAAGTTCCCCTGTTGGGAGTTCCTTCCAGTCCAGCCTGCCTGAGCAGCATGGCTCTGCTTCCCTCCTCTGCTGGGGCAGGGCCGTGGCACAGCTAAATCTTCATGGAACACGGCCTGACAAGGAGGCGCCCATGGCTGCATCGGAGGAGGCAGAGGAGGGGGGTTGGGATGGGAACCGGGTCCCTTTTGCTCTGGAGGTTGAGATGGAGCCGGTGGGGCCCCTGGTGGGGAGGCTGCTGTCTGTCTGGGTGCTGACCTGGGAGAGAGGTGAGGGGGGGACGGCGCTCAGGACCACTGTCCTCTCCGGGGCTTTCAGGGGCTGGGCAGAGGCAGTGGGCAGGACCATGGGGGTGTCCAGGGATCGGGCAAAAGGCCGCCTGGATGGAGAGAGGACCGCAGTGACCTGAGGGTCCCGTGGCCAGGCTGGGGTTGTGGTGCAGACCCAGACTCTCCACATCCTAGCTGGAGGCTGGGGCTCCCTGAGCCTCGGTTTCCCCTTCTGTGACGGGGCCATGCAGCTGCCCTACGCAGAGGGAGGCTTCCTGGGGAGAAGGTGCCATGAGCGGGAACCCAGCCAGGGCACTCACCAGCCCTGCCCTCACCTGCACCTCGCAGGCTGGTTTGGGTGGAGGTCCAGGGTCAGGTCCCTCTGCAGGCCCCTCTGGGACTTGCTTGCCCCTGAGCAAAGATAGCTCCTGGGAGGATGGGAGGGGGAGGAGGCCAGTGCAGCCCCCAGGCCAGTGCCATTTGCTCATCCTGCTGTCGCTGGCTACCGGCTGACCCCTGGGCGGCTGCCCCTGCCCGACCCTGGTCCCCCACCTACCCCCATTTGGCCCCTGCTCCTTCCCACTCCGGTCTGGGCCCTGCCCCCTGGCCTGGCCCCTGGCCCCCACCCCTGCCTCCAGCCTGGCCGATGCCCCTGCTGCCTCCTCCGTGATGCCTTCTCGCCCCGCCTGCCCACAGTGCACAGGTTCCATGTGACGGTGGCTCCCGGCACCAAGCTGGAGAGCGGCCCAGCCACCCTGCACCTCTGCAATGATGTCCTCGTCTTGGCCAGGGACATCCCGCCGGCTGTCACGGGGCAGTGGAAGCTGTCTGACCTCCGGCGCTACGGGGCCGTGCCAAATGGATTCATCTTTGAAGGCGGGACCAGGTGTGGGTACTGTAAGTACGGGCGCGTGGGGCCACTGGGCAGTGGCGGCTCGGGCACTCCCCACTTCCCCTGAGAGCTGCTGGCATCCGGCTGGCAGACCCCAGGTGCAGGCTGGCCTGCTGGCATTTTCGGAACGCCCCAGGGGGGGGACAGCGTCTTCCCACACTCGGTGTCCGAGGTCCTCTGCCCCAGGAACCTCAGTGTGGAGCGTTGAGTCTGGGCTTCGGCTGCCTCTGCTCTTCCTCACTGGAGGGAGAGGGCTGGGGGACGGGGAGGAGCCCAGGGTCACAGAGCCTCAGGGCCGCTCATGGCCAGATCTCATGAAGAGCAAAAAACAAAGAATAAATGCATTTAGCGCAGAGTGTGAGCTCCTGCATGAGCGCCCACGGAGACATGTCCCTGGACCAAGAATTCCTTGTGGACCTGCCAGCCACCTGGCCTGTGGGCGACCCAGAGCTGTCCTCATGTCCCCACTGAGGTGGCCAGGCCATAGGTGGGGATGGCCTGAATGCTTTGTGTGTGTGACGGCTTGACAGCTCCCCCAGCCCACCATGGCCAGGGGAGTGAGGGAAATGGGAGCAGAAAGCCCCCGGCTGTCTCCAGGGTGCTGCAGGAGCTGGGGTGCTCCAGCGATCCCGCCCGCTTTCTCCTGTGTTAGGTGCAGACACGCCAGGCTGGCCTGTGGACCTGCGGTTCCCTCGGAGTGCGTGACGCCTCCTCTCTTCTCTCTGGAGGGGCAGCTGTTCATCTGCTGGGCTGGAGGGGGCAGAGGGGCCTCCTGGGGGCCTGGCGTGGGGCTGAGAGGGCCGGGGGACTGCACGCGGCTCACGGTGGCTGGGGCTCTGGGGGCGCCGGGATGTGTCTGGCTAGAGCTAACACAGGCAAGGACACGGCCATGCTGGCCACCTGCGCCCTCGTCCTGCAAAGGCCAGCTGGGGAGCAGGCACAAACCCACCCGGGAGCTGCGTGCTGCCACCTTCTGCACTGGGCTCTGGGAACAAATCCAGCGGGGCTTGCTGCAGGAGCCAGCCCTGTTGGGGCCTTTGAGGAGGCGACGTCTGACCCTGAAGGGGGGCAGGGCGCAAGGCTCAGGCTCCACCGAGGCAGGCGGTGTGCAGCCAGCTGCAGGGGGCTCTTGGGGTGGAGCTGGCCTGGAGGCTCGGCCCCTGGGGCTGGCGGGGCCACAGCCAGAGTCCAAAGGGCCTAGACCGCTCCGGGGTTTGTGAGCCACTGTGGACGGGCAGGGCCGCTGCCCACACCAGCTGTGGGCTGGTTCGGAGGGGGGTTCCCAGGACAGCGAGGACACCTTTCGGGGTCCCATTTGCTGGACGGGCCCCCCGGCTGGAGGTTCAGCAGGGGGGCTTCAGGAGTGAAGCCTGAGGGGGCTGTCCTCTGTCGCGTGGGAAGCAGGAGCTGCAGTCGATAGTCCTGGCACGGACAGCCTGTCTCGTCTGTGGTGTGCTAGGTTTGGGGGTCCCTGCAGGATGGGGACCCATACCCTCCTCTCTGTCTGTGGAACTCCTTGGCATGGGCAGGTAGCTGGCTGGGGTGGCACCTCGCGCTCACCCTCTCAGCTGGGGCAGGGCGGGAGGACCCGTTTCCTTGGAGACCTGTTTATTTTGTCTGGGCCATAATGGAATGGAGTTACGGGATGTTTTTCCACGGAGGCCTTGGAGGTTCACGTGTCTGCCAGACTGTGGGTGGCCCCTTTGCCACTGTGCTTCTCCCCAGGGTGAGGCTGCTGTGATGTCTTCCTGGGCTGCCCGAAAGCCAGGGTGGGCTCTCGTAGGGCGTCGGCTGCCTCTCCGGGGCAAGCTGTTAGAGCAGCCCCCTCCGCAAACCCACAAACCGGGCTGGCTCCGCAGAACCCGAAAACGGGGGCTTACCCCAAAAACTCACAAACTGGATTGTCCCCACAGAGCCCGAAAACGGGGGCTTACCCCAAAAGCCCACAAACTGGATTGTCCCCACAGAGCCCGAAAACGGGGGCTTACCCCAAAAGCCCACAAACTGGATTGTCCCCACAGAACCCGAAAACGGGGGCTAGCCCTGTGGAACCCGCCTCTGCAGCTCAGTGCTGCACCTTCTCGTCTCCTGTGGGACCCTGGGCTGAGAGAGGAAGGGCTCTGGGAATTTCGTTACTGACGGCCACACACCCCGTAGGGCAGGCGGGTTCTGGAGGCCAGGCTGGAAGGCTTGACCCAGCCACCCCTCCCTTGCCCCAGTGGCCCTGCTGGGCCCCGTCCTCCTGGAGACAGGTGTGGCCCCCACCCTGGCTGGTTTAAGCTGGATCTTAGTTCTCGACGCAGCCCTGAGCGCAGGCTGTGTGGCAGGAGGGACCAGGCGTCTGAGGCACGTGTGGGCAGCCTGGGGCCTCCTGCGGGAGGGAGCGGCAGCTCGGGTGGTCCAGGGGCAGCGGCATCAGCTTCCTGGGGCTTCTGTAGCAGATGACCCCCAGGAGAGGGCTGAGGGTCCAGAGTGGATTCCTTCTGCAGCCTGGAGGCTGGGGTCTGCAGGGTCGCCTTCTTCCAAAAGCTCTCGGCGAGGACCCAGGGGAGGGTCCTTCCCGCCCCTCCAGCCACTGGTGGCCCCAGCGGCGTCGGGTCTCGTCTGCACTGCTCGGCTCTGTGCCTGTTGGCACCTGCCTGTACCTCCTCTTCCGTCTCTTGCAGTCCCTGGACTTAGGGCCCACCTGGATGACCCAAGATGACCTCATCCCTAGAGCCTCAGTTCCATTGCAGAGACCCCTGTTCACAGAATGGAATGGAATGGAAACACATTTTCTAGGCCACCCTTTGGCCCACAACTGGGGCCACCAGGATGGAGAAAGATCCAGAATCTGGATCCCAATGGGTCTGTGGGCCTCGTTGCTTTCCGTCTGGAGGTTGCAGCAGAGCTAGAGTCGTGGGAAAGCCCTGGAAGGTCCTGGGTGTAGGAAATTTACACTCCCTCCTTCCCCAGGGACAGGCCCCAGCCTGGCCCCTAGTCCCCAGAACCGCCTCAGTTGGCCCCACCACAGCCAGCTCTGCAGACAGCAGAGAGGGCCACCCTGGCCCAAGGCGACACTTCACTCATCCTGAGATGCTGGGCATGGCTGCACATCCCCGGTGCCCTGGTGGGGGTCGAGTGGAGATAGGCCTGGCTGGGTGTGGCCCTGAGGGTTGGGGGGGTCTCTTTGTGGACCGCCACCTGTTCAGAATGGGACTGGAAGTGGCTTGGTGACATTAACCTTGGTCCCCAGTGTGTCCCAATTCCCTAGGTCTCTGTTGGTCATGGGCCTGTGGTGTGGACTGTGGGAGCTTGGCCTAAGTGCACTTGGCACGTGGCGGGCGATGGTCTGTGGACAGCTCAGGGCTGCAGGCTCCAGCCTCACACACCGGCGAGTGACTGCCCCCCCCCCGCAGGGACTGATGGTGCGTGGTGGAGAGTGAAGGAGAGAGGCGCACTCACCCTGACAGGCTCAGCCTGCAGCACAGAGGGCGGGGCCCCGGAGAGGCTGAGCCCAGAAGGGAAGGCTTTGGAGGGCAGGGAACGCTTTAGCTGGGACTGCAGGGCGAATGGAGGCTTCTGGAGGTGCCCCTTTTCCCCCTTACCCGTTCTCTCCAGCTGCTTCCAGTCCAGGGACCACATCTGCCTCTTCATCCAGCCTCTGGGGGCCACAGGGAGCATTTTAAAACCATTTTGACTTTTAAAAATGAGTAAAGGATGTGTCTAGGTGTGGTGGCTCATGCCTGTAATCACAGCACTTAGGGAGGCCGAGGCGGGCAGGTCACCTGAGGTCAGGAGTTCAAGATCAGCCTGGCCAACATGGTGAAATCCCGTCTCTGCTAAAAACACAAAAATTAGCCTGGTGTGGTGGCAGGTGCCTGTAATCCCAGCAACTCCAGAAGCCGAGGTGGGAGAATCGCTTGAACCTGGGAGTCAGAGGTGGCAGTGAGCCGAGATCCCGTCATTGCACTCCAGCCAGGGCCACGGAGCCAGGCTCCATCTCAAA